AACTGAAGTACTGTGGCATGGTGTTTGTCTTGTTGCTTGCTATATAACACTAAAGTAACTAAAGTACTGTGGCATGGTGTTTGTCTGGTTAGATGCTAGATAACACTAAAGCAACTGAAGTACTGTGGCATAGTGTTTGTCAGGTTAGATGCTATATAACACTAAAGCAACTGAAGTACTGTGACATAGTGTTTGTCAGGTTAGATGCTGTATAACACTAAAGTAACTGAGGTACTGTGGCATGGTGTTTGTCTGGTTAGATGCTAGATAACACTAAAGCAACTGAAGTACTGTGGCATAGTGTATGTCTGGTTAGATGCTATATAACACTAAAGGAGCTAAAGTACTGTGGCATGGTGTTTGTCTTGATGCTTGCTATATAACACTAAAGTAACTAAAATACTGTGACATGGTGTGGCATGGTGTTTGTCTGGCTAGATGCTATATATCACTAAAAGAGCTGAAGTACTGTGGCATGGTGTTTGTCTGGCTAGATGCTATATAACACTAAAGGAGCTGAAGTACTGTGGCATGGTGTTTGTCTTGTTGCTTGCTATATAACACTGAAGTACTAAAGTACTGTGGCATGGTGTTTGTCTTGTTGCGTAGGTCTGAGGCTCTGGCAGGTAAAGGCCATTTGCATCTACTTTCGCAGATATGTGAGATCTGAAACACGACGCATTCAGTCGAGAAACAACAACTTTGTGAGAGAGATATTCGTTGAAGTCAACAAATGAGGGTAGAAGTTTTGAAATAGCCTTGTTGAACCCAACTGCACACAGTAGAAATTTGTGTGTGGAATAACTTTAGCGCAAGAGGATTGTTACATGTTCGTGAGAGTGGTGCTGTATGCATTTGATGCGTATAATGTGAGAGAGATAAATACGTTAGTACTGTATGTGGGGTGAGTTGTCTTACCTGCAATAGCGCGTTACTGTATGCGTTTGATGCGTAAGGTTCAAGTCCTCCGAAGCGCGTGCGGTTGTGCCGAGAGAAGTCGAAGTCTTCCAGCCCTAAGCGACTGTACGTTATTTCCTGAGTAAGTTAAAGGGTATAACGTAATGAGTACTGTGTATGAGTGTTGCTACATCAACTGAACAATACTCAATAATGGAGTATTATGAATGTGGCGACCTATGTAGGTGGAAGGTTGCAGTCTAGTCCGTACATACATACATACATACATACATACGTACATACATACATACAACATACATAAACACACGCATACATACATACATAATACAAACATGCATACACAAGTATATATATATTTATAGTAATAATATAATAGTATAATAATATAATAATATAACAAAAATAATAATAATAATAATTATAATAATATACACACACACACATATATATATATATATATATATATATGTATATATATGTATATACATATATACGTGAATGTAAAAACATGACAGAAGTGCACGCGCAGACCTTTCGCCTGAAAGGCCTTGGGATGTAGTCTGGATCATTCTCGCCCTCTGAGCTATCACTGCCGTTGCTGTTGAACAGGTTGCGTCGGTTGGTGTAGGTCTGGTTGCCATGGTTACCGTGGGTGTGAGGCCCTGTGTTGACATGTCCACCTCTGTGTGGATGGGTTCGACTGTAACCTGGCAGTCCTCTGTTTTGATTGTGTGATGGGGGTTTCCACTCCACCTGAGCATATGTACAATAAACGCTTATTTTTTGAAAGATCAATTGATCAGATAATGAATGTGCGCATACACACACACACA